CACTTACAGGCATGAGCCACCGCACACAGCCAGATATATTTAACTCCTTCAGCTACTTGGAATTGATTTTTTGTATGGTGTGAGGTAGAGTACAATATCATTTCTTTATATATATTGTGAAAAGTTATAACTTTCCACTCATGAGCTTCGAACTGAACTGCTGTACCTAAAGGCAGTTCTAGGAACTGAGAAAAGCAGATAGTTGCAATAAATTCCAAGAAGCAATAAATTCCAAGGAGCAATAAATTCCAAGGAGCAAAACCAGATTTTGAACAATGACCACCTTGAACTGGAGCTGGCTGACCATAAAAAGGCATGAGAATGTTGACAAAGACAAGCTGTATGACCACCCAGCCTCTGAGGCACCACATGAAAATTCAGCAAGAAGGCACCATCTATGAAAAACAGGCCCTCCGCAGACAGAAAATCTGCTGGCATCTTAATCTTGCACTTCCAGCCTCTAGAACTGTGAGCAATAAATGTCTGTTGTTTATAAGTTATCCAGTTTGTGGTATTTTGTTATGGCAGCCCAAATACACTAAGACCAATTAGATAGTACTGATGGTTGCACAACTCTGTGAATATACAAAAAAACACTGAATTGTTCACTCTAAGAATCTTTAAATGGATGAATTTCACAGTATGCAACTGTTATCTCAATTTTTTAAAAAAGTACTTGTTTCATAAAATTGTCATAGACTAAATGAAAGTATGTGAAATACACAGTAACTATATTCAATGAACACTTAAAAAAAAAAAGCTAGTAGTCTAATTCTTGACTACTGTAATAGAATTCTAAGTGCACATCCTTGCCCCAGCCTCATGGTAGGCAGAGAATACTTTCTCACTCCTTGACTGTGCACTTAGTCATGTGACTTCCTTTGGTCATGACTACATCCAAGAATGTGTTAATGTATTTTAACAGCATTTGTAGCTGTTTTCAGCAACACAGTCATCCAGGTACCTGGTCTGCCATGGTGCCAGAAATTGCCTTTTTTTTTTTTCTTTTTTGCATTACTTAAACCTGTATTTCGAACTACCAGTGTGGTTGAATAACTTGCCATATCTTTTTCTTATACTTTTATTTATATTCCTATTTCTCATTTTTTATATTGCTTGTTTATAAATCTATTCTGTTGGTACTTTATATTATTTATTTTAAAGAGTTATTGAAAAAATATTTTTAGTTTTCTATTTCAAAATTTTTGGAGCAGAGGTGGTTTTTTAGGTTACGTGGATAAGTTATTCAGCGGTGATTGCTGAGATTTTGGTGCCCCCGTCACCTCAGCAGTGTACACTGTACCCAATGTGTAGTCTTTTGTCCCTCATCCCCCTCCCACCCTTTCTCCAGAGTCCCCAAAGTCCATTGTATAATTCTTATGCCTTTTATCCTCATAGCTTAGCTCCCACTTATAAGTGAGAACATATGATATTTGGTTTTCCATTTCTGAGTTACTTCACTAATGGTCTCCCAACTCCATCTGTGAGTTGCCATTATTTTGTTCCATTTTATGGCTGAGTAGTATTCCATGGTGTATATATATACCACATTTTCTTTATCCACTTGTTGGTTGATGGGCATTTAGACTGCTTCCATATCTTTGCAGTTGTGAATTGTGCTGCTATAAACGTGTGTGTAAGTGTCTTTGTCATATAATGACTTCTTTTCCTCTGGGTAGATACCTAGCAGTGGTATCAAATGGTAGTCTACTTCTAGTTCTTTAAGGAATCTGAGTACTGTTTTCCACAGTGGTTGTACTAATTTACATTCCCACCAGCAGTGTAAAAGTGTTCTCTTTTCACCACATTCACACCAATATCTATTCTTTTTTATTTTTTTATTATGGCCATTCTTGTAGGAGTAAGGTGGTATCTCATTGTGGTTTTAATTGCATTTCCATCATAATTAGTGACGTTGAGCAGTTTTTCATATGTTTATTAGCCGCTTGTATATTTTCTTTTGAGAATTGTCTATTCATGTCCTTTGCCCACTTTTTGATGGGATTATTTTTTTCCTTGCCAATTTGTTTGAGTTCCTTGTAAATTCTGGACATCAGTCCTTTGTCATCAAATGTATAGTTTGCAAATATTTTCTCTCATTCTGTTGGTTGCCTGTTTACTCTGCTGATTGTTTCTTTTGCTGTGCAGAGGCTTTTCAGTTTAATCAATCAGGTCCCATCTATTTATTTTTGTTGCATTTCCTTTTGGGTTCTTGGTCATGAACTCTTTGCCTAAGCCAATGTCTAGAAGAGTTTTACCAATGTCATCTCCTAGAATTTTTATGGTTTCAGGTGTTAGATTTGAATCTTAGATCCATCTGGAGTTGATTTTTGTACAAACTGAGGGATGAGGGTCCAGTTTCAATTGTCTACATGTAGCTTGCCAATGATCTCAGTACCATTTGTTGAACAGGGTATACTTTCCCCATTTGTATTTGGCTTCATTTCTGGGCCCACTATTTTGTTCCATTGGTCTACATGCCGATTTTTATACCAGTACCATGCTGTTTTGGTAACTATAGCCTTGCAGTATAGTTTGAAGTCAGGTAATGTGACCTTATCTAATTGTGCTATTTCAGACTTTTTGATGTAGGCATTTAATGCTGTGAACCTTCCTCTTAGCACCTTTTTTTTTTTTTTTTTTTTGCTGTATCCCAGAGGTTTTGATAGGTTCTGTCACTATTGTCATTCAGCTCAAAGAAATTTTTAATTTCCATCTTGATTTCATTGTTGACCCAAAGATCATTCAAGAACAGATTATTTAATGTCCATGTATTTGTATAGCAAAAGTCCTATTCTGAGGATCTGTTTTCTAAAGCCACCCCATTTCTGATACTTGTTTTCTTAGCCTATGTTCACTAAAAAACAAAGCCTGGAGCAAAACATGTGTGCTAAAGCTTTAGTGAAGGGCACAATCAAGGATGGAAATAAAATATACTTTGGTGTGCTACTGAATTCACCAGTGTTACTCAAGAAAACACAGCTTGTTTCACAGTCTTCTTGAATGCTTCTAGACAAGTTGTATAGAATCACAGCATCTTGAAATGGTTGAGGAAAGGAGCTGATCTTTCTACAGGTGTTTGTCTTATTTCTGTCAATGGTCAAAGTTCACCCTATTGGGTGTTTGTTAGTTTCCTCACACCTCTGAGTTGTGTTACCTGGGTCATGGTACTCAGTAAGAAGACCAGATCCCACACACCACAGTTCAGTCCTGAGTCCAAAAGTGGTAGGAGTCATCAGAACCTCCATGGATCCAGTCAGAATGAGCTTGAGTGCGGAAGCTCCTGCTGCAGTGAGTGCAGTAGAGGCCATTTCAGAACCCGGCCCTCACTTTAGAAATATCAGGAGATGTGATAAAGGCAGTGGCAGTCAGGGATTTCCACTGATCGAGTGCCTGAGGGCCTGGGAAGTAGATAAGGCTGAGAAAATATGGAAGGGGCATAAATTGGACCAAGACCATGCATACTACGGTTTTCGTACCTGGACAAACAAGGCAACTCTGGTCCTGAATATTTTGCAGATGCACAGAGGGAGACCTGGAAGGTTACAGACCAAACTGGGGATATTCTACTCCTAGTTGTTCCCTGTAGGAGTAGAATTGGTGGCTCAGAGGGTAGATGTATGTTCAACTGTAAGAATAAGGGAATTCAAGAAATTGTATGGATTCACATCCTCTCCAACACTTGATACTCTTAGACTTTAAATTTTTGACAATTGAATGGGTGTCTTTCTTATTCTTTATGGTGTCTTCATAAATTAAACCTCTTAAAGTCAGAATTACCACTATTCCATTCTATAGTCAATGGTTTGTCTACATTGTTTAGAAATCTTTATCACAAAGTGTAAAAGTTACTTGCCTTTGTTTCCTGTCAAGAGCTTTAAGGGTAGGTTTTAGACATTTAATTCCTTAATCCGTGTGGAATAGATTATTATTATTTTACGTATCACATGAAGTAGGGTTCCAATTTCATCTTTTCCAATGTAAGTAAACATTTTCCAGCATCAGTTAATAAAATGTCCCTGTTTACTTATGTAACATGCTACTTCTATACTTGCATGGGTGCGTTTCTGGGTTCTCAATTCTATGCCATTGCTTAATTAGTCTATCCGTGCACCAATATCACAGTCTTTATTAATTTCAACCCCCCCAACCCCACGTCTCTCTCTCTCTGTCTCTCTGTCTCATTCATTTAGGGTGATCTTGGGGAAGGGAACTCATTCACATGAGTTCAGCCTCTTAGTAGAGAAAAGTGGGCCATGAAGCTCTAAACTGTTTCCCTTGGATTTTCTCCTCTTAGCTATGAGCTCCTCCTTCCCAGAAAGCTTTTGGTAGTATTTTATGTAATACTGTGAGGGTAGTAACTTGAGGTAGGGGACTAAGAGCTCTAGAAGTCCATTAAAGGTTTGTTTTGTTCAGAAAGCCTTCCATCACTGTGACTGGTGTTTGAATGCCTCCAAGGCGTTAGGATGCTAAGAAATCCTCCTCTGGGGTTCCCAGGGAATGTCTGCTCCCTTTGCTTTCACTGAGCCCGAAAAATTTTGTGGCATTTACAGCAGGATATCTGCCCTAAGTAAAAACAGTTTGGTTTTGAAGGCAATGAGATGTTTCATTGTAAATGACAGGGCGCAGCAGCACAGGAGCCTTAAAGGCATTTTCGCAATGTCCAGATGTCGAAGAGTGCACTGGTCATGGTGTGCCCGCATCAATTTATGGGAAGAGCGTAGAGTTCACCAACGTCCTACATTCTTCAAGCTCCACTTCCCTTGTTGCTTCCCTGCAACCCCCACGAACCTGGCACCCAGGCGGCTCAGGCCCAACGGGGCGTGAGTAGTGTGCTCAACCAGCCAGAAGCTGGGGGCCCCCTCCCCGTTCTTATCCTTCTGGGATTCAGGTCACGCAGCCACCTTGACTACAGCTAGGACTTCCTCAGGCCCTTTAAGGGCCGCTTCTCCTAGCGCAGGGCGCCGCGGAGTCCGGGGCGTGGGAGTGTTCCAGGGGCGGAGCGTGGGCGGAGCTCAGCCCTCCCCGCCGGGCGCACCTCCTGCGGGGCGGTGACTGGCCCAGCCGCACCGCGTCTCCCGCAGTCTCTGCAGTCCCGCAGGCTCCGGGCCCTCGCATTCCCAGCGTTGCCGGGTCTTGTGTTTCCGTGTCCCAGCTCTTGCGAGATGACGCTCAAGGCGAGCGAAGGCGAGAGTGGGAGCAGCATGCGCACTGCGCTCTCCGACCTCTACCTGGAGCACTTGCTGCAGAAGCGTAGTCGCCCAGAGGTGAGCGGGCCCCGCGGGTCCCAAGGGTGCTGGGCCAGGGCTCGGCCGTTCATCTCGGGACTTTCCCTGTCCGAGACGCTGTCCCCGGGGAGGCTGTCCTTGCGGGTCCTGGCCACAGTCCGGAGGCCGCGATAGCCAGCGGGGGCGGGGGTGTGACGGGGGAGGGGGGGGAGACAGGGCCAGCACGCTGCCAGGTTCCTGCCGGGCTCTGTGGATCCTTGCCCCCAGCAGTCCTTCTAGGTGGAAATCAGTAGAGGCGGCGGCCTGCACAGAGCTCTTATTAAGGTCAAGGAAAACTTCCTCGTGGACGGAAGTCAGAGTAACAGAAACACTTTAAGGAACACATCAAGGAGGAGGTCTGCCTGGTTGTTGTTGAAGTGCTGTTGTTTCGGTCAGCAGGCAAGGTTGTAAAAGCCAACTTCTGGTTCTAAAGAGCTCAGTCATTGTTCCTCTTCATTTAGGCAAGTCCCCTTGTTCTATGGTGCAAATACGGTGGCCAGTGTGTATTTGCGAGTGGAACAATGAATCCAGATTCCAGAGATGGATGGCCGGTGAATAGCTGTCCTCAAAGATGCCCTAAGGGGACGTTGTGCTTATCTGTGGCTGGGAAATCTCTCCAAAACTCGCTGCTTTACAACACTGAGCATTTTCTTATCTCTCATATTTGGTTTTGGTTGGGACCAACAAGGTGGTCATCACTCAGGATCTGTCAGTCGCGGACTCGGCTCACTCAGTCATCTGCAGGTTGATGCTGGCTGTCCCTGTGGCTTTGCCTTTCTCACAGCGTGCTGGCCAGCTCCCAAGGTGAAAATGTACAGAGAACCACAGAGCCAGGCAGAGGCTCAGAAGTCGCATCATGAATCACCTTCCTAGACTGCAAAGTCTTCTAGGGCAGGGCCGTTTCATACTCACTTCTTTAAGTGCCCAATAAGTGGGTCCTCAGAAATGTTTGCTAAATTAGTAAATAATTGAAGAGATGGACATTAGGGATTTAGAGTAACCCTCCGATTTCACAGATGAGAAAACTGAAGATCTCTGCAACATAAAGCAAACAGTAAGCTTTTGACTCTTTGGGCTGAGTGGCATTAACTCAAGGAAACAAGTAATGGGCACGAGAACTGAGGCTAGATTTTGTGGCTGCAGAGTCAAAGGTCAGTGACTTTCTGCTGTGCCACATTGCTTTTCCCTTTATATTCCACTCGGAGTGAGGCATTCACACTTGCCTGTCATTTCAAAGCGGTATTGCAACAGCCCAGGTTTAAATGAGTGGAGAAATAATACAGCCATGAAAGATGCTATTGTTATACAGATGACAAGACAAAATTGGAGGTTCTGTTACCTGATTACCCATAAATTTGGACTTGTGATTTTTTCTCTTCCCCACAAGCAGTACTTACTTGACTGACCCTCAACTATTTTTTAAAAATCTCTTTATTTTTGGTAGTCTTATTGAGGTACAGTTATGATAGAATTCATGAAATTTAATTGTGCAGTTTGATGACATTTGACAAATGTACACAGTCATGTAACGAACCACAATCATGACAAAGAATAAACATTTTCAAGGTTCCAGAAACTTCCCTCACGGCCCTTGGCAGTCAGTCACCTTCCTCCACCTCGAACCTGGCAACCACTGATTTATCACTATACGTTTGCCTTTTCTGAAATTTTATATAAATAGAATCCTACAGTATGATATATGTATTTTGTGTCAAGTTTCTTTCACTCAGCACAACCTGATTTTATGTAAACCTGTGTGCTCCCTTACGGGAACGCTTGGAAGATTGCCTTTTCAAAAAGAGGCCCTGTCAACACCACTGTTATGTTGTGTGCACACCCTCAGAGTAAACAGCGGGTTTTGTGGGGCTGTGAGTTTATACTGTAATCTTGGAGATAGTCTACCAGTTAGCTAATTTGTTTGGTTTTTATTAAAGGATTTTAAGAAGTCAAATAACAAAACTTGCCAAATCCCTGAATGAAATAGCATCCAGATATACCAAAGTGAGCATCTGAGGGAGAATCTTCACATGGTGAAGTCTGGCCTGACTCCACAAACCTGCAGATTCTTGTTTCTTAAGGTTCACCTTCCCTTTAGGGCTCTTACCAGTCTTTGCTGTAGCACCAAGCTCTGCCTTTTACTTGCTGCGTGGCTTTCGGCAAGCTGCCGAAGTTTTCTGTGCCTTAGGTTTCTCTCCTTTACGAAACAGGCAAGTTTGAAAGGTTGTGGCGACATTTACATAAGATAATGCTTCACAAGGACCTTGAGCCACACTGGGACATCCAGAGTAATGACCCAGCGTCTCCCTAGGAGCTGCCTCCCTAGTAGTAGCAGTCAGAAACTTTTCCTTTAGTGGCAAGATTAGAAGCAAGAAAACCTGTGAGGAAGTTGTTGGCTTCAATGTAAATCATAAAATTATTTTGCTGAAAGTTCCATTTGAAGGTATCACCTTATGAAAAAAGGCTACCAATTCAAAACAAAGTTTCACTTCCAATTATAATCCACATTTAATTCTGAAAAAGTATTGTCTAAGGATAATTTTGCAATAGGTTTGAATGTAACCTGTCTCCCATATTTAAGTATATCTCCTTCCTTGGAGAAATTATTTTTTTTTCTTTTCTTTTCAATGTTGTCTAGGCAGGTTAATGGAGAAACTAATTTTATAAGCTGCCTCTGCTCTTGTTCTTCACAGTAGTATCCATTAATGCACATAAAAGTAGTTGTAAGCTGGGTGCAGTAGCTCATGCCAACACTTTGGGAGGCTGAGGTGGGCAGACCACAAGGTCAGTAGTTGGAGACCAGCCTGACCAACATCTGTACTAAACCCATCTGTACTAAAAATATAACAATATAATAATTAGCGGGGCGTGGTGGTGACTGCCTGTAATCTCAGCTCTCGGGAGGCTGAGGCAGGAGAATCGCTTGAACCAAGGAGGTGGAGGTTGCAGTGAGCCCACATCACACCACTGCACTCCAGCCTGGGTGACAGAGCAAGATTCCATCTCAAAAAAAAAAAGTAGTTGTAAAATCTGATACTGCTTTCTCTTCAGGCCTATTTGAAGTAACACTTTCCCCAGGATCTGAAGCAATAGGTTGAGAATCCCCAAAAATTCACTTGGGCATATCCCACATCAAAAAAACAAACAAACAAACAAAAAACACCTAAGAGATAAGTTAGGCTCCAGGCAAGTTTCCACTAAGAAAACCTGTTTCTTAGTTCTTAGGCCATCACATGCAGCATTATTCCCTGCAGCTGGTCATTGAGTATAGTGCAGTGTTGTCCATTGCTGGAACTAAGAGGCAAATAAGGGAGGACACAGACACAGAAACGAATACAGTAGGGTGGCGGTGATGTGGTGGAGGCAGGTGTGGAGTGCTGTGAAGCGGTGAGGGGCACCAAGCACAATGGGGTCTTGTATTTTGCTGTACCTAGGATGTAACTGGCAAATGGCACTCTGGGCAGAGGGAGCAGCCTGTGCACAGACACCGAGGTGCATGTCGAGTGTGGCACCTTCTGTGACAGCAGACGTCGAGTCTCTGGTGTGCATGATCAGTTCTGCTCCTGAATAGTTCTAATTTTTTCTGAGAAAGAACTTTTGCTCCAGACTTGGATCTTGCTGTTTCATTTGCAAAGGAAGTGTTTCTGTTCAAGGCTTTTGACAGAACTGATACTAAAAAGTAAAGCATAATTTTCAAATTTAGACCTCTGCCCAGTTTCCCCAGTGTGTGGTGCAGCTAGTCCGTCTCTCCTATCCTTCACTTCCAGGAACACTTCCTGACTTTTTTCTTTTCCTCTTCTTCTTTTTTTTTTTTTTTTTTCTGTGACAGAGTCTCACTCTGTCACCCAGGCTAGAGTACAATGGCGTGGTCTCGGCTCACTGCAGCCTCGGCCTCCCAGGTTCAAGCAGTTCTCCTGCTTCATTCTCCCAGATAACTGAGATTACAGGCGCCCGCCACCACACCTGGCTAATTTTTGTATTTTTGGTAGAAACGTGCTTTCGTCATGTTGGCCACGCTGGTCTCGAACTCCTGATCTCAGGTGATCCACCTACCTTGGCCTCCCAAAGTGCTGCAATTGCCTTTCATGACTTTTTTTTTTTTAAGACTAAAAGGGCTTAGGATACCTTGCAGATAAGAATCTGCTTTTGGCCGGGCGCAGTGGCTTACACCTGTAATCCTAGCACTTTGGGAGGCCAAGGCAGGTGGATCACGAGGTCAAGAGATCAAGACCATCTTGGCTAACATGGTGAAACCCTGTCTCTACTAAAAATACAAAAATTAGCTGGGTATGGTGGCGTGCTCCTGTAGTCCTAGGTACTCGGCAGGCTGAGGTAGGAGAATCGCTTGAGCCCAGGGGGCGGAGGTTGCAGTGAGCCGAGATCATGCCACTGCACTCCAGCCTGGCAACAGAGCCAGACTCTCTCTCTCTCAAAAAAAAAAAAAAGAATCTGCTTTTATTGTGGCTAAGTAAATTTGAGTTTCATCATGAACATTGTATTCTTTTCTAACTCATTTTTTCTCCCTAGACAGGACATTGAAGTATGATAGAATATCAGGAACAGATATTTCAGATTAAGATCAATTACCTTAAATCGGAGTTTGCCAACCTGAGCACTGTTAACATTTTGCGTCTGATGATTCTGTTGTAAAAAGTAATACCTCCCTGCTAAGTTGTGACAATTAAAAATGTCTTGAGATAGTGTCAGGAAGGGAGACAAAACTAGCTGATGCTGAGATTTTTCTCCTGAGCAGTGAATTGCCTCTAACCTTTCAGTGTTGCTAAAAAAGAACTCTGGGTGTGGAGTGTAGAAAGGCAAGATTAAATAGCCAAACTTCCCAAATTGCCTGGGGTAGGGGAAGTAACGCCAGAGGTGGGGAAGAGGAACTTTTGTAACATAGAGTCTTGCTTTTCTTTTTTTTCCTTTCATGTGAAGAAATATACATGAGCAAAACACATAATGGGTTTTCCTGCAAAAGTTATCTTCCTTGCGAGGCCTTTTCT